GACCAAAGTCTCATGAGACAGAAACACCCACGGACACAAGTTACATGGAGCAGGCTTATTACTTACAGGTAGGCAGGCAGGGCAGGAGAAGCCTAGGATTCATTGCAAGCTGGTCCCCCAAGGCTCAGGAAAGCTGCTTGGTGCAGATGGAGTCTCATCTGTGGATGCCCCACTTGTACCACAGATGAGGAATCCCAGAAAGCAGCCCACCTTGGGTTTTATACCCTAGGACAACCCAACGTGCACCCAATGCTTGGGGCTAAAGCACTGGACATCCAGTTTCCAGGAGAGCCCCCGGCTGTCTCTCCTGTTTGAGCCAGTCCCTCCACAGCTCAGGACGTTCCATTTCCAGCACTTTCTACAGTTATTCTTGAGAACTGCAAGCAAGAAAGAGGGGACAACTGAGTTGGTCCAAGGCCACCCAGAAAATTATTCTGCAAAGACCAGGGCACCCCCAGCCCAGGGTGAGCCTGCATAGCAGCTGGGTCCATGGCCCCAGGCTCGCTTCCAGCCATGCTTCTAAGTGCCCTGCAAGCCCTTCTGCTAGGCCTGGGGCAGAGTGGAAGGGCAAGATCACACCAGGAGATGACAAGTGTCCTGAGGCAGGAGTGAGAACAGCCCTGAAGCAGGAGGCCTGAGCCCCCAGCCAGCAGCAGGGTGGGACAGAGCAGGTGGCTAAGGTATCAGGGACAGAATGGGCAGTTGGCAGCCAGTTCTGGCAGCAGAGTATACCCCCAGGGGTGAGGGTGTAGGATGTGCTGGGGCTGAGATGACCCTGAATAGAGACATTGCTGTGTGACTAGCTGAAGAGCCATGAGGGACTGGGATGGAGGTCCTTACTTAGGATGAGGAAGTCCTTGTAGGAGTCCTTGTGGTGGCAGGGACAGATGCCATCCTCCATGAGGGAAACTGCCCAGAAAATGACACCTTTTCATATGTGGCAGATGAGGCTGGAATCTGGGCATGCCTGTGTTATCAGCTTTGTACCCAAATCTCTCCAGAGCCCTCTTTCACCACCCTACACATTCCTTCCCAGCCATAGTGGAATCCAAAGCTTCTATTTTGGTCAGGGAAGGGACCAAACAGGGACATCTCTGGGCAGTGTACCTTGTCTGTATTTCTCTTGCATCTGTCAATGCTGGTATAAGGCCTGAAATAGTCTTTGTGCATGTGGCATTGTGAATGTGACCTTTGTGACTTCCAGGGAGGGAGAGACAGGTGAGGGTGTTCCTTTGTCCACCAGCTCCCAGCACATATAATAAAAGTGCTGTGGCTCATGCCTGTAATCCCAACTACTTAAGAGGCAAGAGGATCGCTTGAGCCCAGGAGGTTGAGGCCAGCCTGGGCAACATTGTGAGACACCCCTCCCACCACCATCTCTACAAAAAAGTAAAAATAAAATTTAAAAATTAGGTGGGCATGCTGGTATACACCTGTAGTTGCAGCTACTCAGGAGGCTGAGGTGGGAAGGATACCTTGAGCCCAGGAGTTTGAGGCTTCAGTAAGCTGTGACTGCACCACTGCATTCCAGCCTAGGCAACAGAGCAAGACCCTGTCTCAAAAAAGTAAAAAAAGAGGTCAGGCGCAGTGACTCAAATCTGTAATCCCAGAACTTTGGGAGGCTGAGGTGGGCAGATCACCTGAGGCCAGGAGTTCAAGATGAGGCTGACCAACATGGTAAAATCCCATCTCTATTAAAAATACAAAATTAGCCAGACATGGTGGCAGGCGCCAGTAATCCCAGCTACTCAGGAGGCTGAGGCATGAGAATCACTTGAACTGGGGAGGCAGAGGTTGCAGCGAGCCAAGATCGTGCCACTGCATTCCAACCTGAGTGACAGTGAGACTCTGTCTCAAAAAAAAAAGAAAAAATATATCCTGGCCAGGCACGGTGGCTCAAGCCTGTAATTCCAGCACTTTGCAAGGCCAAAACGGATGGATCACCTGAGGTCAGGAGTTCAAGACCAGCCTGGCCAACATGGTGAAACCCCATCTCTACTAAAATATACAAAAATTAGCCGGGCACCTGTAATCCCAGCTACTCAGGAGGCTGAGTCAGGAGAATCACTTGAACCCAGGAGGTGGAGGTTGCAGTGAGCCAAGATCGTGCCACTGCACTCCAGCCTGGGCAACAGAGTAAGACCCTGTCTCAAAAAAAAAAGAAAAGAAAATATCCTTAATTTTTTTTTACAAAGACAGTAGATATTGTACATTTATTGAATGCTGATGTTTTTAATCACTGTTTTTAAACCCTTGTGTCATGAAATATTATACATATTTTGAGCAACGCTGCTGTAAATATTCTTTTTTTTTTTTGAGACGGAGTTTCGCTCTTGTTTCCCAGGCTGGAGTGCAATGGCGCGATCTCGGCTCACCGCAACCTCCGCCTCCTGGGTTCAGGCAATTCTCCTGCCTCAGCCTCCTGAGTAGCTGGGATTACAGGCACCCGCCACCATGCCCAGCTAATTTTTTGTATTTTTAGTAGAGACGAGGTTTCACCATGTTGACCAGGATGGTCTCGATCTCTTGACCTCGTGATCCACCCACCTCAGCCTCCCAAAGTGCTGGGATTATAGGCTTGAGCCACCGCGCCCGGCCAAATATTCTTGAATGCACCTCCTGTTGTCCATGTGTACATATTCCACGTGGGCATAGATGTTTCCTGCAATTCCCACCTCCTCCATCAGCAATACGAGAGTTCTCCCTGAACCACATTCTCTTCAACACTTGGTATTATCAGTCTTTTTCACTTAAGATTATCTAGGGGTTGTGTAGTGGTATCCATTGTGGTTTTCATTTGTATTCTCTGATTACTAAGGAGGTTAAACCTTTTTTTAAAAAATATGTTTATTAAAGCCTTGGATTTCCTCTTTTGTAAAATGAATGCTTCACCCATTTTTCTACTAGGTGGTCTCTTCTTTTCTTGTTGATTTGTACAAGTTCTTTACATGTACTAGCTCTGAGTCCTTTGTTGGTAATGTGAGTTGGAGATATCTTCTCCTACTCTGTGGCTTTCCCTTTGTTCTCTTTTAATGCTGTCTTTTAAATGAACAGTAGTTCTATGCTTTGTTGTAGACAGACTTATCAATCTTCATGGTTCATGTTTGAGAACTATTTTCCTAATCCAAAGTCATGAATGAAGATAGCCATCTGTATTATCTTCTAAAGGCTTTAGAGTTTTTGCTTTTCACTTTTAAGTCTGTAATACATCTGGAATTCATATATATTTATTGAGATGGGATCTCATTCTGTTGCCCAGACTGGAATACAGTGGCACAGACATAGTTCACTGCAGCCTCCACCTTCCAAGCTCAAGAGATCTTCCCGCCTCAGCCTCCTGAGTATCTGAGACCACAGTCATATGCCACCCTACTCAGCTAATTTTTATATGTGTGCTATATGTTTTATTTTTTTGTAGAGACAGGGTCTCGCCATGTTGCCCAGGCTGCTTTCAAACCTGGACTCTAGCAATCCTCCTGCCTCAGCCTCCCAAAGTGCTGGGATTACAGACATGAGCCACCACACCTGACCTTGGAATTGATTTTTTTTTTTTTGAGACAGAGTCTCACTCTTGTTGCCCAGGCTGGAGTGCAATAGCGTGATCTCGACTCACTGCAACTTCTGCCTCCCAGGTTCAAGAGATTTGTTGTTGTTTTGGCATGTGATATGAAGTAGAGCTCAGATTTTATTTTGTTCTTTTCTATACACAACTGCCTTGGCACCTTTTCTTCTTCTTTTTTTTTTTTTGAAATAGGGTCTTGCTCTGTCACCCAGGGTGGAGTGCAATGGCACAATCACGGCTCACTGCAGCCTCAGCTTCCTGGGCTCAAGTGATTCTCCCACCACAGCCTCCTGAGTAGCTGGGACTACAGGCACATGCAACCATGTCTGGCTAAATTTTTGTGTGTTTTATAGAGATGGGGTTTTGCCATGTTGTCCAGGCTGCTCTCAAACTCCTGAGCTCAAGCGATCCACCCACCTTAGCCTCCCAAAGTGCTGGGGTTACAGGTGTGAGCCTCTGCACCTGGGCCCTGGCAACATTTGTTAAAAATATTTTTCCTCACTATCTGCTTGGATACATTTGGCATAAATCAGATGACTGTATATGTGGGTCTGTGTCTGTACTCTCTACTCTTATTTTTTTTGGAGATGGAGTTTTACTCTGTCACCCAAGCTGGAGTGCAATGACCCAGTCTCAGCTCACTGCAACCTCTGCCTCAGCCTCCCAAGTAGCTGGGACTACAGTCACGTGCCACCAGGCCCAGCTAATTTTTGTATTTTTAGTAGAGACAGGATTTCGCCATGTTGGCCAGGCTGGTCATGAACGCCTGACCTCAGGCGATCTACCTGCCTTGCCCTCCCAAAGTGCTGGGATTACAGGCATGAGCCACCATACCCAGCCTGTAGTCTGTACTCCATTGCAATGGATTATTTGTGTATCCTAGCACCAGGGCAACAATATCTTAAATTTCCATTGCTTTGTAAGTCTTGAGATCTTGTAAAGCATGTCCTCCCACATTGCTTTTACTATTCAAGAGCATTTTGGCAGGCCAGGCGCAGTGGCTCATGCCTTCAATCCCAGTGCATTGGGAGGCTGAGGTGGGAGTATCACTTGAGGCCAGGAGTTCTAGACCAGGCTAGGCAACATAGGGAGACCCCATCTCTACAAAATTGAAAAAAAAAAACCAAAGCCAGATATGGTGGCATATGCCTGTGGTTGAGGCTGCAGTGAGCTGCGATTACGCCACTGCACCCTAGCCTGGGTGACAAAGTGAGACCATGTCTCAGGAAACAAGATAAAAAATAATTTTTTTAATAAAAAGTTGTCTTGGGTATTCCTGGCCATTTGTGCTACTTCCACAGAAATTTTAGAATTGGTTTGTCAAATTTTACAAAAATCCTGTTATGATTTTAATTGGGATGGCATTGAATTTACTGATTTCTTCTTTTTAAAGGCTTTTTTTCTTGGGCTTTATTCTTTTTTTTTTTTTTTTTTTGAGACAGAGTCTTGCTCTGTCATGCAGGGTGGAGTGCAGTGGTGCAATCTCAGCTCAGTGCAACCTGTGTCTCCCGGGTTCAAGCGATTCTCCTGCTTCAGCCTCCTGAGTAGCTGGGATTACAGGCATGTACCCTTACACCCTAATTTTCGTATTTTTAGTAGAGACAGGGGTCTCTACCCCCATCAGGATGTTGGTCAGGATGATTTCGAACTCCTGACCTCATGATTCACCCACCTCGGCCTATCAAAGTGCTGGGTTTACAGACGTGAGCCATCGTGCCCGGCCTCTATTTTATTTTTATAATGTCTTTATTTGGATGCTTAATGCATGGAATTTTAAACTTTATTCTTTTGTAGTATGAGCACTGAAGACCCTAATTTCCACTTTAGTTACTGTTTCTTAACCCTATAACTTCTTACACGTACTGATTACATTGATGTTTAGTATATCTTCTTAGATGATCAGTTATTTTGAACTGTAGTTTTAAACTTTAAAATGATGATTTCTGAAAAGTTTCCTCTTATTACTGACTTCTGACTTAAATACACTTGGTTTAGAGATGGTCTGTAAGATGGTTTCTGTATCTTCTCTATCCGTGTGCCCTTCCTGGGCCGTCTCATCTGTTTCGCAGCTCTGTATGAGAACTCCCAAGTCTTACCTCTATTCTAGTCCAACAACCTATTGTATAACTCCCTGCATGTTTTACCACATTAATTTCAACATGGACAAAATGTAACATTATGTTTTATTCTCTTCCCCACGCCCTTCCTAATCTATTAGCCCCTCTCAATATATAGCACCACCATGATCTGCATGGTTGTACAAAGGTGATAACTGATAATTGCCCTAGAATTCTTTATTTTTCTCACCCCCATAATTCAGCCTCTTTAAAACACAGTATCAACACCTTATTTTTGTTTCTTTGTTCATTTTGAGACGGAGTCTCACTCTGTCACCCAGGCTGGAGTGCAGTGGTGCGATCTCGGCTCACTGCAACCTCCACATCCTGAGTTCAAGCAATTCTCCTGCCTCAGCCTCCCGAGTACCTGGGATACAGTGGCCCACCATGCCCAGCTAATTTTTGTATTTTTGGTAGAGATGGAGGTTTCTCCATGTTGACCAGGCTGGTCTCAAACTCTTGACCTCAGGTGATCTGCCTGCCTCGACCTCCCAAAGTGCTGAGATTACAGGAGTGAGCCAACCCCTGGCCAACAAATTCTTTTACTTGCCCATGACAACTACTACCTTAAGTCCAGTTTGTCTTATTCTCTCATATAAACTCTGTAGAGCATCTCCAGACTGATCTGGACTCACCCATTTCAAACATTCCTTGTGATGTATCTTTTTTTTTTTTGAGACAGAGTGTTACTCTATCACCCAGGCTGGAGTGCAGTGGCGCAATTTTGGTTCAGTGCAACCTCTGTCTCCTGGGTTCAAGCAGTTCTCCTGTCTCAGCCTCTTGAGTAGCTGGGATTACAGGCACAGGCCACTGTGCCCAGCTAACTTGTATTTTTAGTAGAGATAGGGCTTCACCATATTAGTCAGGCTGGTCTCGAATTCCTGACCTCAGGTGATCCATCCACCTCAGCCTCCCAAAGTACTGGGATTACAGGAATGAGCCAGCACATCCAGTCCTATGCATCTTGAATACTGTTTGAAATCACACAATTACAATCGTGTCTTTTCCTGCATATAAATGGCAGTCCATTCTCTATTAGAAAAAAAGACTTGTTCCTTAATCTGATGCTAGTATATCTCTACTGGATTTTCCTCATAGCCACTTTCTCAATATACCACACAGATTCCTTTTCTTTATATGGAACTACTTGGAGTTCCCAGAACCCACCATGTATTTTTCTATTTTCCTTTCTCCACAGTTTTGCTCATGCTTCTCCCTTCTAGATAACTCTCGTCCCACTGTCTCTAAGAAAAGTCCATACTTTTCTTCCAAATTCCTAAAGCTTCCTTGATGTCTTCTTCTGTTGGTTATCTAAGTCTTTAAGTTATATTTTAAATAAATTTTTTTTCCTCTCACAAAATGCAATATAAAACTAGGTACTTAGTGAAAACCCTACATGATACCTTATGGTAAAAAGCATTAAAAACAACTTGCTATCTACCTTCTTCCATCCCCCGGTGCTGACCATGCTGCCTTGAACAGGATTGTGTCATTACAGATTTCAGTGTCATTTGAGGATGTGACTGTGGACTTCAGCAAGGAGGAGTGGCAGCACTTGGACCCTGCTCAGAGACGCCTGTACTGGGATGTGACACTAGAGAACTACAGCCACCTGCTCTCAGTGGGTAAGCACGGCCGCCCCATGCATCTGCGAGGGGCCCCAGTGAGTGAGGGTATTTCCATTCTCGGCTGCTGAGTGCTGCCCGACATCTAAACTATGTGAAGGTGTCATCCTGGATTTGTCTGGGATTCAGTTCCTTTTTACCTCTGTGATCGTTACTCTGTTCCCAGTGAAATATGTTTACTTTTCTGAACAGCAAAGGAAATTTGTCACTGAAAGACCTCTGAAACCCAGTCAGCTGGACCCAATCCTGTATCATGTCCTGTTAACAGGGTACCACATTCCCAAGTCAGAGGCGACCTTCAAGTTGGAACAAGGAGAGGGGCCATGGACACTGGAGGGGGAAGCCCCACATCAGAGCTGTTCAGGTGAGTGAGCATGACCCAGGCAGATGGGGACATGGAAGTCAGTCTCACTTTTCCTAGGAGAATCTGATGCCTTTGAAACACTCTGAAGACAACCCGTCTTGAAAGTTCTAAACTTTTGGAGTCAATTAGAGATAGTCGACAGTAGCCCTCAGATACCTAAATACCATTTCCATGTATGACCCTTGCCATGTTATTGTCTTCTTTGTTTGGCCTTTTGGCAAGAGAGCTGTCTCTAGTCTCTGTACTCTGGATCACATACCACCCTGTCTTATCTAGGAACTTTTGGTTCTTCCTACTCTGCCCCTGCCCCCCATCTTAGTCTTTTCTTGTACATCCAGGTGTTTTAAAATTTTTATTGCCCAGGCTGGAGTGCAGTGTCATGATCTGGGCTCAATGCAACCTCCACCTCCCAGGTTCAAGTGATCCTCCACCTCAACCTCCCAAGTAGTGGGGACTACAAGCATATGCCACTATGCCTAGCTAATTTTTGTATTTTTAGTAGAGACGGGATTTCACCATGTTGGCCAGGCTGGTCTCGAACTCCTGGGTCAACTGATCTGCCTGACTCGGCCTCCCAGAGTGCTGGGATTACAGGTCTTTTCTTTTATTCCAATTCTCCATAACCATTGTTTATGCTTCCTCCCATGGGCAACTGGACTAATGTGTTTAAACCTTGAATTTGTGTGATATTCTCTTAAAGCCCAAAGTATTGGTTTATGAGTATGTGTTTTTAGTATATATAAAACATACTGTACTATGCTTCTCAGTTCTGTTCCTTTTTATTCACTCATTCCTATGATCTCTCCATATTTTAGTGTGTTCAACTGGCTTCGTTCTTCAAATTGCTGCATAGTATTTCACAATGTCCCCAGCACCACATCATACTTAACCACTCACCTAGTCATGGACGCTGAGCATTGTGTCCAAGTCCCATCTAATACAAACAGTTCTGCAATCAACTTCTATATAAATGTTTCCTTACAGGGTATGAGAATTTCTCAGGGATGTGTAGAGAAGAGAGTTCGCCTAATCATGGAGTATCTCATCCAGAATTGGACTGAGTACCACCATATTATTATCAGATTAGCTGCACTGTACAAGGGTTCCTGCTTTTCCATTGTTTCTGCTAACAATTAGTAGTACCAGAGTTCCTCATTTTTTGGTCAACAGTGAGTGTAAAGGTGTATCTCATTTTTTTTGACCTCATGATACAACAGTAAGGTACCTCATTTTTAATTTGAGCATTTCATGATTTACCTGATATCTCTTTGAGCTTCCCTCCTATGAATTACTTTGTTCATGTTTCCCTGATTTTAATTGTGCCTCCTCAATTGTCTGTTTCTTACTGATCTGCATCTCATTTATTATTTGCCCTTTTCTCAGCCTTCTCGTCCTCATTTTCCCCATAAGCGAGGTTCTCCTAGGGACCTTTTCTCCTGTTCAGTTTTTTTTTTTTTTTTGAGAAAGAGTCTTGCTCTGCCACCCAGGCCGGAGTATGGTGGAGAGATCTCGGCTCACTGCAGCCTACAGTGATTCTCCTGCTTCAGCCTCCTGAGTAGCTGAGATTACAGATGTGCACCACCATGCCTGCTAATTCTTGTATATTTAGTAGAGACGGGGTTTCACCATGTTGGTCAGACTGGTCTCAATCTCCTGACCTCAAGTGATCTGCCTGCTTCAGCCTCCCAAAGTGCTGGGATTATAGGTGTGACCCACTGCACCCAGCCAGCTCCATATTTTCTTCTGCCAGAATTATAATTATTCTATTACTGATTTGATTTGCTGATTTCTTTCTTTTTACTAGTTCATATTAAATGCTGATCACAGATATCTTTACGTAAAACATTCTATTTCTCTTGAAATAGAGAATTTTGAAACAAATCTACAATTGTTCTCCATTACCTAGTATTTGACAATTAAACTCTTCTTTCAAGGAGACAAACAACATGGTCACATATTTCCAGTTCAAGTCATATCTGTTTATTTTCCATAACCTCTGCTCAATTCCATTTTTAATGTTTTCTTGATGTTGACCATATCTGATTGTCCTCCCTGAATCTGTTTGTTCTGTGTTCTGTCTATTCAAATGAGATATTTTCTACCTTGTGATCAGTTCTCACCTGTCTCACAAAATAGCTCTTAATTATTCCAGCCTATATGGCTGTTTCCTTTTTCTCATCCTCCACCCCACAAGAATTCTGAAAAAAATCACAGACTGAGGCTTTTGCTTCTGTGCTTTCAGAAAGTCTCCAGAAATAAGTCTCTTTCAGGCTGAGTGTGGTAGCTCATGCTTGTAAACCCAGAACTTTGGGAGGCTGAGGCAGGAGGATCACTTGAGGCCAGGAGTTCAAGACCAGCCAGGGCAACCCGGCAAGATACCATCTCTATTTCAAAAAAATAAATTTAAGAAAAAAGAGCCTATTTATTTTTATTTCAAAATCTATTAATTTGATAAATAAGGATTGAATGTATTTATCATGTACAACATGATGTTTTGAAATATGTATATATGAAAACTCTTAAATTATAACTCAGGGTCTTACCGAGGGAAAAACCCAGACTAATTTGAACAGAGAATGGTTAACATAAAGATTCTTTGCAGCTGAGTGCGGTGGTTCACACCTGTAATCCCAGCACTTTGGGAGGCCAAGTCAGGTGGATCACCTGAGGTCAAGACTTCAAGACCAGCCTGGCCAACATGGTCAAACCCCATCTCTACTAAAAATACAAAAATTAGCTGGGTGTAGTGGCCCACGTCTGTAATCCCAGCTGCTCAGGTGGCTGAAGCAGGAGAATCGCTTGAACCCGGGAGGTGGAGGTTACAGTGAGCCATGGGACTAGAATAATGAGGGATTTGCTAGTAAAAAAGGAAACTCTGAAGAATAAAGGAATAGCAGACAGAAAGCACTAGGGTTGTGAGCAAGCACCCAAGGAAGAGGCTCCCTACTTCCCGGGGATGAGATTCAGACCTTGTAGGGAGGGCACAACCATGGCTCGAGGCAGGTGGAATACTTGCTATGGTGCTGTGCCAGTGGAACTTGCTGGAAACCTGCCCTCTAGGATTCTAGAGAAAGCTGTTCATGCGGAGGTGACTCACTGGAGCTATTCCACTGCAAATCGTCTGAGAGTAAACCTGGGGGTGTTGGGTGCTGCTGACTGTACAGCACTGTGGGAACCTGCAGGAACTGGGTGCTTGGGAAGCCATATGAGCTGCACGAGCTGAGCTCTAGAGAAGACCGCAAGACCTGGGCACTGGGGACACTACATGTGCATCAGGAGCCAGATGTTGGCAAAGATGCCCACACTAAATGAGCCTGGTTCTAGACAGGCTGCACCTGCTGGATGAGCCTGCTGAGTGAGCCCCCTAGAACCATGAAGCAAATCTCCCTCCTCCTGCAGTGTGTCTCTAGCATCTTACACTGACAAAGTTTGATATCATGCTAGCTGGCAGAAGAAAAAAAAATATTTAAAGAGATCGAGATCCACTTTTTAAGTTTTTGATTTTTAGGTACATAAGTATATATATTTATGGGGTACGCGGGATATTTGGGGGGTTTTGTTTTTGTTTTTGAGACAAGAGTCTCACTCTGTCATCTAGGCTGGAGTGCAGTGACATGATCTTAGCTCACTGCAACCTCCGCCTCCCGGGTTCAAGCAATTCTCCTGCTTCAGCCTCCCAAGTAGATGGGACTACAGGTACATGCCACCACGCCTGGCTAATTTTTGTATTTTTAGTAGAGACGTGGTTTTGCCATATTGACCAGGCTGGTCTTGAACTCCTGACCTCAGGTGATCCACCCACCTCCGCCTCCCAAAGTGCTGGGATTATAGGCACATGCTACCACAGCCAGCTAATTTTTGTATCTTTAGTAGAGACAGGGTTTTGCCATGTCTCAAACTCCTGGCCTCAAGTGATGAGGTTGAGTTTGGCCTCCCAAAGTGCTGAGATTATAGGCATGAGCCACTGCACCCAGCCTGCATGGGATATTTTGATACAGGCATACGATGTGTAATAATCACATCAGGGCAAATGGGGGCCAGATCCGTTTTTGTTGAGCAGGCAAGGAAGGGCAATTTTGGAACTGAGAGGCAAAACATTGATAACCAGCACACTTATTCTTCAGTTTTCTGAAGTGGAGCATGTAGAAAATATTTAGTAAACAAATTTATTGAATTTGGGGATATAGTCAGAGGAGATTTTGTTCTCTTTCAGATGGAATTTTCAAGTGTCTGCTCAGAAGAATTCAAAAGAACATATATTATATTTGGAGTGGGAAGATGACTACATGAAATGTTAACACTCTCACCTTTTATGTATTTGTCCTTTCTGTTATAAAACTGTGCCAAACGGAGTATCAATATGAGTGATACAGTGTCTGCTTTACAAATTCCTAGCAAACATAAGCTCCCTAGAGGTATACCAAAATGAGAGCTAACATTTAGAAAGACAATACATTTTGGATATGTACAGAAGAACAAAACAAGAAGCTAAATATGGATGTATGTCTTCCCCTACATGATAATTCTGAGGTGAATGGGTCCAGTTCAACAAGTCAGCTCTAATCCTGACAGGTCATTCAGGGACCATGTTGTAAGTCTCTCCTCTGGCATCTCCTGGGGCATTGTTGTCACCTGCCTGGTTAATGATGGATCACTGTGGAGTCCAGTGGGAATAGGGAAGAGGAAATAGAGGAGATTTGCCCACTGTCTTAAGGCTGGCCTGCAAGTGACACATATCACTTCTGCTCATATTCCACTGGTGAGAACACAACGAGGCCAGTGAGTGTAAGGCCCAGTTACATTCTATTCCTGTGAAAAAAGGGGAGAATAGATGTCAGGGGAGTACCTACAGATTCTGCTACAGATAGCTTTTCCTTTCCTCTTTTACACTTCTTGTTATAAGCATGTATTCCTGGAACCAAAAGAAAGTTGCTTCTGGGGCTGCCACGGTGGTTCATGCCTGCAATCCCAGCACTTTGAGAGACCAAGATGGGCAGATCACTTGAGGTCAGGAGTTCAAGACCAGCCTGGCCATGATGGTGAACCCCCATCTCTACTAAAAATACAAAAATTAGCTGGGTGTGATGGTGTATGCCTGTAATCTCAGCTACTCAGGAGGCTGAAGCAGGAGAATCGCTTGAACCTAGGAGGTGGAGGTTGCCCTGAACTGAGATTGCACCACTGCACTCCAGCCTGGGCTACAGAGCGAATCTATATTTAAAAAAAAAAAACTTGTAACTGGTTATAGCGTTGGAGTACAGATACCTATTTGCTGTTTGTCTATGTCAGGATGGTGTGTTGCAACTAGTTTGTCTATAGATATAAAGGAAGTGGGGCCAGGTGCGGTGGCTCACACTTGTAATCCTGGCACTTTAGGAGGCTGAGGCAGGTGGATCACAAGGTCAGGAGATCAAGACCATCCTGGCCAACATGGTGAAACCCCATCTCTACTAAAATACAGAAAATTAGCCAGGTGTGGTGGTGCATGCCTGTAGCCCCACCTACTCAGGAGGCTGAAGCAGGGGAATTGCTTGAACCCCAGGAGGCGGAGGTTGCAGTGAGCTGAGATTGCACCACTGCACTCCAGCCTGGTGATAGAGCGAGATTCCATCTCAAAAAAAAAAAAAGGAATTGGTGTTTGAGGCATATACATTTAATGTTTAAATGAACATTAAATTTGAAGGGCTCCACTCATAATGGTATAGAGGGAAAAGCCAGAAGCAGAGAGATTAGTAAAGTGGTAGAGCTGATGTGATTCAGAACATACATTCTGAAATATTTCTTCCATGCCAGCCTTCCCCCTCACAGGCTGCATTTTATTCTTCTTACTCTACTCACAATCCAGGCATCTTAAACAGTGGAGCCAGACTCCAAGGGTTCAAATCCCATCTCTCCCACTTATTTAGCTCTTGGATATTCAGCAAGTTGCATGACTTCTCTGTGCCTCTGTTTTCTCAATTGTCGAACAATTGATAATCATAGCTACCTCGTAGGGTTTAGTGAGGATTAAATGAGCTGTTATGTGTCAAGCACTTGTAACAGTTCCTGTGTATCCTAAATGATATATAGTTGTTTTACATTTATTAAGTGTTCTATAAGAATGTTGTGTTGCTACATTATTGGTACTATATTGTCCTATGGGCTCCTTCATTTCTCTGTGTTCATCCTGTCTGAACTACATGTCCCCTCTAGCTTCTGCTAATTGTTCTTTGTGTTGTTTTCATGTCTTTCTTTTTCTTTTTAGGTGAGGCTATTGGGAAAATGCAACAACAGGGAATTCCTGGAGAAATTTTCTTCCACTGTGAGAGATTTGGTCTCCTTGAGAGATTTGATCAACCCATAGGAGAAGCTTCATTGTGTTCCATTTTAGAAGAACTGTGGCAAGATAATGACCAGCTAGAGCAACGCCAGGCAAACCAGAATAATCTTTTAAGTCATGTGAAAGTATTGATTAAGGAGAGGGGCTATGAACGTAAAAACACTGAAAAACTAATTCAAGCAACTAGCAAACTTGTTCCTTCAATTAAAAGACTCCATAACTGTGACATAATTGGGAAGAGCTTGAAGTATACTTTAGACTCACATAATCATAGTACAAACAATGTAACAATGAACCTTGGCAAGATTTTTGGAAATAGTATCAATTTCACCCATAGCCCTTCCTCTACTAAGAATGAGAATGCTAAGACAGGAGCAAATTCCTGTGAACATAATCACTATGAAAAACATCTCAGCCACAAGCAAGCTCTCACCCACCATCAGAAAATTCATCCTGGGGAGAAGCTGTATGTGTGTACTGAATATGTAAATGGCTTTACTCAGAAGTCACATCTGTTTGAGCATCAGAAAATTCATGCTGGAGAAAAGGCCCATGAATGTGACAAAAGCAACAGAGTTTTCCCCCAGAAACCCCAGACTGACATACATCCGAGTGTTTATACAGGAGAAAAACCCAATCTGTGTACTCAATGTGGGAAAGTCTTTACCCTCAAATCAAACCTCATGACACATCAAAAAATTCATACTGGGCAGAAACCCTACAAATGCAGTGAATGTGGAAAAGCCTTTTTCCAGAGATCAGACCTCTTTAGACATCTGAGAATTCACACAGGAGAAAAACCTTATGAATGCAGTGAATGTGGAAAAGGCTTCTCCCAGAACTCAGACCTCAGTATACATCAGAAAACTCATACTGGAGAGAAACACTATGAATGCAATGAATGTGGGAAGGCCTTCACAAGAAAATCAGCACTCAGGATGCATCAGAGAATCCACACAGGAGAGAAACCTTATGTATGCACTGACTGTGGGAAGGCCTTCATCCAGAAATCACATTTCAACACACATCAGAGAATTCATACTGGAGAAAAGCCGTATGAGTGCAGTGACTGTGGGAAATCCTTCACTAAGAAGTCACAACTCCATGTACATCAACGAATTCACACTGGAGAGAAACCCTATATATGTACAGAATGTGGAAAGGTCTTCACTCACAGGACAAATCTCACCACACATCAGAAAACTCATACTGGAGAGAAACCCTATATGTGTGCTGAATGTGGGAAGGCTTTTACGGACCAATCAAATCTCATTAAACACCAGAAAACTCACACTGGAGAGAAACCCTATAAGTGCAATGGCTGTGGAAAAGCCTTCATATGGAAGTCACGCCTCAAAATACATCAGAAATCTCATATTGGAGAGAGACACTATGAATGCAAGGAGTGCGGGAAAGCCTTTATCCAGAAATCAACACTAAGTGTGCATCAAAGAATCCATACAGGAGAGAAACCCTACGTTTGTCCTGAATGCGGGAAGGCCTTTATCCAGAAATCACACTTCATTGCGCATCATAGAATCCACACTGGAGAGAAGCCTTATGAATGCAGCGACTGTGGGAAATGCTTCACTAAGAAGTCACAACTCCGTGTGCATCAGAAAATCCACACAGGTGAGAAGCCCAATATATGTGCTGAATGTGGAAAGGCCTTCACTGACCGGTCAAATCTGATAACGCACCAGAAAATCCACACGAGGGAGAAACCCTATAAATGTGGTGACTGTGGAAAAACCTTCACGTGGAAGTCACGCCTCAATATACATCAGAAGTCTCATACTGGAGAAAGACACTATGAATGTAGTAAATGTGGGAAAGCTTTTATCCAGAAAGCCACACTAAGTATGCATCAGATCATTCATACAGGAAAGAAACCTTATGCTTGTACAGAATGTCAGAAGGCCTTTACTGACAGATCAAATCTCATTAAACACCAGAAAATGCATAGTGGAGAAAAACTCTATAAAGCCAGTGACTGAGAAAGTCTTCACCTGGAAATCACAACTTGGTATGCACTAGGTATCTAATAGTAGGGAGGAAGAAGTGCTGATGCTGCAATTGTTGTGCAGGGGAAATAGATATGAGAGACTGAGGCTTGAGTGAACTGAAGGCAAACAGAGCCAAGTATCCTTCCGTCCACTGGAAAGACAAGTTTCTGCATCACCACAGTGTATATGCGGTTCTATGCAGAGGAAGAGCATTTGAGGAATAGTCATATCTGGTTACATTGTTCATACAAGGACTCTTGAGCTCCTATAAACAGTAGAATTAAGACCTGAGGAGATGACTTGTCATCTCTTATGTTTCACTTTTTGGATAAAGAACTTTTTAAATTCAGTACCAATTAGTTCAGCATATTCTGGGACATAAAAGTACTCACTACTGGGAAAAAAACTTTTTCAAATGTCTAGGCTGGAGAGGAGAGTTTTCATTGTCCAAACACTAGTAGGGCACTGACATCAAGGCAGAAAACCTCCTTGGGAATGCGGATAATCTGCTTTGTCATCATTGGCACTTAAGACACAGAAAAGATTCCCATGAAGAACTGTTTTTTTCTCTTCCCTTTGGGAAGTCCTCATGGTATATATATTTTTTAAGTGCAACAGAATTTTTAAATTTAAAGGTATAACTTTATGAATTGGGAAACTAGGCCTAGCTCTAGCCTGTGTTACAGGAATATAGTCATTGAATGATACAGACATATAAAGGTAGTGGTTGTCTCCTTATTAATTCCCTGCTGGGACAGCAAGTGAGTCATACCCTATAAGAGGTATGCATGCCTTCTAACCTGTGTCCCCAAAGCTGTCTTTCGTAAAAGCTGCAGGTCATAGATTCCTTACCCCCCAGTAACTGACACTACAACAATGGAACTGATCCACAGCACTCTATAGATGTTCAAGCTCATCCACCAACACCCCTGCTTTCCTTGGGTTTCCTGTCTGAAAAAGAATGGTTGAAAAACTGGGTTTCACTTCCTAATATTTTGTTTTTCTTCCTATTTGGTCAAGATATATTCCTTTCCTACATGCACATTAAGGGTAGTTTTGTGTAGATTGCTATGGGATAAAGTCATATTGCATTGCAATTAGTTATTCTAAGACATAATTACAGCTTATCATAGTTGAATAACTGGAAGACTTCTCAAGAAAAAGCACTGCTCTTTTTTAATACTGATATATAGACACTTTCTCATTTTCCCTTAAACATTTTTTACAATACTCATAAAAAGGAACACTCTTCCTAGCATGCAACTGTATTTTTATTTTATTTTGAAATATTTTTATTAAACTATAATGTATACAGAAAATGCATGTATCATAAACATACAGCTCAATGCATTCTCAAAAACTGAACATACTCAGATCAAGAAACAGAACGACCAGCACCCCAGAAGCCTTCCCCACTTTCCCTTCCAGGCAAGCCCCAAGTGTATACACTATCCTGGCTTCTCACAGCATAGATTCATTTAGCCTGTTTTGTATTTTACGTAAATCGAGCCAAACAGTTATGTATCATATAATTGAGTGATATACTCTTTAGCATCTGTCTTCTCTCATTCACATTATGTATGTGAGAGTCATCCGTATGTTGTATATAGTTGTAGATAATTCATTCTCATTGTCATGCTGTATCCCATTCTGTAAATATGCTGCAATATAATTTATCCATTCTACTGTTTGTAGACATGTGGGTTGTTTGCAGCTTGGGCTATTAGGAATTATGTTGCTGTGTATTGCTGAACATATGTATTTCTGGTAGGTATGTACCTAGGAGTTGAATTTCCAGGCCATAGTGTATCCGTATGCTCAGCTATATGTTATAAAACCAGTTTTCAAGTGGTTGTACCAATATACACTCCCACCAACACAGTATGTGAGTTCTAGTGCTCCACATACTTGCCAACATTTGGTATTTTCCATCTTTTTTATTATAGCCATTAATGGTGGGCAAATAGTGATATGTCAATTTTAGTTTTTGTTTTTATTTTCTTGTCCTTCGAACCATTGTAGTATCTCCCCAGGATAGATGAGTGATAGCTGAGACATGAGACCCAGGCCTGTTCCTCACATGACTACACCATTTTACATTCTCACTATCAATGTATGAGGGTTCCAGTTTCTCCACATCCTTAGAACTCTTATTATTATCAGTCTTTTTTATTATGCCTATCCTAGTACATGTGAAGTAATATTGTGATATTAATTTACATCGCCCTAATAATATTGATCATCTTTTGTTGAGAATCTTTCATTAAGTGTCTGTTCAAATATTTTACCCATTATCAATTGGGTTATTTGTTTTCTTATTGTTGAGCACTGAGAGTTTAAAAAATATATTCTGGGCCAGTGCGGCAGCTCATGCCTGTAATCTCAGCAATTTGGGAGGGTGGATCACGAGGTCAGGAGATCGAGACCATCCTGGCCAACATGTTAAACCCCGTCTCTGTTAAAATTACAAAAGTTAGCTGGGCATGGTAACACACGCCTGTAGTCCCAGCTACTTGGGAGGCTGAGGCAGGAGAATTGCTTGAACCAGGGAGGCAGAGGTTGCAGTGAGTCGAGATCACACCACTGCACTCTAGCCTGGTGACAGAGAGAGACTCTGTCTCAAAAAATACACACATATATATATATATGGTATAGCTTTACTGTCAGTCCATTATCCTTGCAAAGGTTTTCTCCCAGTCTCTGGATTATCCTTTCAGTCTCTTAACAGCGTCTTTTGAAGAACAGAACTGCTTATTTTGATGAAGTCCAATCTTTCCATTTGTTCACTTCTAGGTTGTCCTTTGAGTGCTGTATCTAAGAAATCCTTGCCTAACCAAAAATTACAATGATTTTTTCCCGTGTTTTCTTCTAAAGGTTTTGCAGTTTTAGGTTTTACATCTAGGTCTAGCATCCATTTTGAGTTGTATGGTGTAAAATATGGATCCAAGTTCTTTTTTTTTTTTTGGCTTATGGATATCCAAATATTTCTACACCATTTGTTTACATACTACCCTTTCTCAATATTTTGACTTTTGTCAAAATATCATATGGCTCCTTGAGGCCAAGAGTTCAAGACCAGCCTGGGCAACATGGCAAGACCTTGTCTCTAAAAAAAATTGTTTTACATTAGCCAGGTGTGGTGGTGCATGCCTGTAGTCCCAGTTACTCAGAAGACTGGGTTGGGAGGATTGCTTGAGCCCAGGAGCTAGAGTCTGTGTTGAGCTATGATCACACCACTGCACTCCAGCCTGGGTGACAGAGTGAGACCCTGTCTCTAAAAAACAAAAACAAAAAAATTACTTGTCTAGAGGTGGAGCTTCTGGAATGGTAGGGTGAGGAGCTCATCAAAACCCTTCCCCCAAAAGCAACTATAAAACTTTTTTTTAAATGGTCAAAAATGACCATTTTAGAACACTGGCAATTCACCAAAAGCATGTATCAATTTGAAAAGTGTTTATTGATGGAAAAACTACCAAACCTTGATAAGAATAGTGGGGTCTATGGAATTTAGACCTGGAGCTGCTCCCATCCGCAGCTCTGTGGGCATGGTAACCATGAGGAATGGAAGCTTCACTGTAAATGGAGGGAGCTGACCTGACTCTCAGCTCCAGAGAAAAGCTCCATGCCTAGGGGTATTGTCAAAAACAACAGCAATGTTTGTAGCAAGTAATTGGGGAAGGCCAACCTCACGGCTGCCTAAGGCCACAACATTGTTAGGGTGAGCAGCAGATCAGACAAAAAAATTAAGGGGATATGGAAAATAAGAGCAATAGTGGGAATTGATAAGCTCACACATATGCATGAGGATGTGGAAGGCTGTGTGCATGACCACAAAATATCAGATCCCATGATGAATGTGAGACCTTATACAAGCTGAAATGAATGCCAGTGCAGACTTATAAGCAGCCTGGACTTAATATGTGTACTCAAACCCACACATTTACCCCCTTAGTGAAAGCCATACTGGTTTGCAGTGTATAACCACAACTTCTGAGCATTGTCTAAAAATAAGCTATGCAGACCCACAGGCGACCCTAAGGAAGCCAGGCATAAAAATGGAAAGAATTCTTTAAAAACTTAGCAGAAACATCAGTAGCTGCACACTGAGGATGAAAAACCCTACAGAATTAGTCCCCACAAGTCCCTAAAGAAAAAACAACAGCAACAATAACTGTGGAGGATGGGATCATAATCCAAAATTACTAAACGATATTATCTACAGTGTCAACTTTTTAACAATTATGAGACGTGCAAAACAAACAAACTGTACACACACAGGAAATTCTGGTCCATACACAGGAAAAAAATACCAGTCACTAGAAACTCTCTGAGGCTGTTCACATGTTGCATTTAATAGACACCAAGTCTTTATCTATTAAATAGCCAGGTGTAGTGGTGCATGTCTGTAGTCCAGCTAATCTGGAGTCTGAGGCAAAAGGATTTCTTGAGCTCAGGAATTGGAGTAAGCAGTAAGCCATGATTGTGCCACTGCACTCTAGGCTAGGCTACAGAGCAAGACACTGTGTCAAAATAAAAAATAAAATATCTAGTTAACCAAAAAAGAAAGAAAAGGAACAAAAGAGATATGAAAGCCAAGGAAAACAAATCTCAAAATGCAGATGTAAATCTAACCATATCAATAATTATATTAGAAATAAATGGACTAAATTCCCTAATCAAAAGGCAGAGACTGTCATATTAGGATAAAGACAGGATCTTTATCCCAGCTACTTGGGATGCTGAAGTGGGAGGATCACTAGAGCCCGGGAGGTGGAGGTTGCAGTGAGCCGAGATTGTGCCACTGCGCTCTAACCTAGGTGACAGAGCAAGACTCCATCTCAGGAAAAAAAAAAAAAAAGAAAAGAAAAAAAAGAGAGATTTCAAACCAATAATCTAAACCCTCACCTTACAAATGTAGAAATGTAGCAATCTACACTTAAAGCAAGCAGAGGTAAGGAAATGATAAAGATTTGAATGGAAATCATTGCAATGGGAAGATTTAAAAAAAAACAATAATGAAAATTTGTGAAACCACCGGGTGCGGTGGCTCAAGCCTGTAATCCCAGCACTTTGGGAGGCCGAAAGTTTGAGACCAGCCTGACCAACATGGAGAAACCCCATCTCTACTAAAAATACAAAAAATAGCCAGGTGTGGTGGCACATGTCTGTAATCCCAGCTACTAGGGAGGCTGAGGTAGGAGAATCACTTGAATTCAGGAGGCTGAGGTTGCAGTGAGCTAAGATTGCCCCATTGCACTCCAGCCTGGGCAACAAGAGCGAAACTCCATCTCAAAAAAAAAAAGGAATTATACATCATGACCAAGTGGGGTTTACTCCAGTGATTCAAGGCTGTTTCAACATTTTTTTTTTTTTTTGAGATGGAGTTTCGCTCTTGTTGCCCAGGCTGGAGTACAATAGCACAATCTTGGCTCACCGCAACCTCCACCTCCCAGGTTCAAGCCATTCTCCTGCCTCAGCCTCCCTAGTAGCTGGGATTACAGGCATGTACCACCACACCTGGCTAATTTTTCTATTTTTAGTAGAGATGGGGTTTCTCCATGTTGGTCAGGCTGGTCTTGAGCTCTTGACCTCAGGTGATCCGCCTGCCTCAGCTTCCCAAAGTGCTGGGATTACAGGTGTGGGCCACCATACCCAGCATTTTTGTTTTTATTTTATTTTGTTTAAGACAGCATCTGATTCTGTCGCCCAGGCTGGAGTGCAGTGGGGCAATCACCAGGCTTACTGCAGCGTCAACATCCTGGGTTCAAGCAATCCACCTCAGCCTCCCAAGTAGCTGGGACAACAGGTGCACACCACCACGCCCAGCTGATTTTTGTATTTTTTGTAGAGACAGGGTTTCACCATGTTGTCCAGGCTGGTCTGAATTCCTGAGCTCAAGCAATCCACCTGCTTCGGCCTCCCAAAGTGCTGGGATTACAGGTGTGTGCACCCAGCCAACATTCAAAACTGAATCAAAAGTAGATTGCACCAATGTGCTTCTGTGTGGCTGTTCTCTGGAACAGTAGTCATTTAGCTCCATCCATCTTCCCTCCCATCTAAGTGCATGCCATCACCCCATAGAAGATTCAATGGACATGGATATGAGCCCCCTGAGCTCCCAGAAGTATATTTTTGGTTGCAAACTAAAGACAGACAAAGATTGATCACTTTAAAGTGGATAATGATGAAAATGAGCACCAGTTATCTTTCAGAAAGGACAGTTTCGGGGCTGGTGCAAAGGGTGAATTGCATGTTGCTGAAGCAGAGGCAATGGATATCAAAGCAGTCAAATTAAAAGTAACACTGGGGCTGGGTGCGGTGGCTCACGCCTGTAATCCCAGCACTTCTGGAGGCCGAGGCGGGTTGATCACGAGGTCAAGAGATCAAGACCATCCTGGCCAACATGGTGAAACCCCGTCTCTACTAAAAATACAAAAATTAGCCGGGTGTTCAGCACGCGCCTGTAGTCCCAGCTACTTGGGAGGCTGAGGTGGAAGAATCGCTTGAACCCAGGAGGCAGAGGTTGCAGTGAGCCAAGATTGCGCCACTGTGCTCCAGCCTGGCAAGAGAGCAAGACTCCATCTCAAAAAAAAAAAAAAAAAAAAAAAAAGTAACACATGTTGGCCAGGCGCGGCAGCTCATGCCTATAATCCCAGAACTTTGGAAGGCTGAGACGGATGGATCACCTGAGGTCAGGAGTTCGAGACCAGGCTGGCCAACATGGCAAAACCCCCTCTCTACTAATAATACAAAAATTAAGGGTGGGTGCAGTGGCTCACGCCTGTAATCCCTGCACTTTGGAAAGGTAGTTCACGAGGTCAGGAGTTTGAGACCAGCCTAGCCAATATGGTGAAACCCCATTTCTACTAAAAGATACAAAAATTAGCTGGGTGTGGTGGCATGTGCCTGTAGTTCTAGCTACTCGGGAGGCTGGAGAATCACTAGAATCTGGGAGGCAGAGGTTGCAGGGAGCCGAGATCAGGCCACTGCACTGCAGCCTGGGTGACAGAGCAAGGCTCCCTCTCAAAAAAAAACAAACAAAAAAAATATAGCAAGCCATGGTGGTGGGCGACTGTAATCCCAGCTATTCAGGAGGCTGAGGTGGGAGAATTGCTTGAACCCAGGAGTTGGAGGTGTAGTGAGCCAAGGTCACGCCACTGCAGTGAGCCAAGGTTGCACCACTGCACTCCAGCCTGGAAGGCAGAGCAAGACTCTGTCTCAAAAAAAAAAAAAGTGCCAGGCAAAGTGGCTCATGC